TGTCGTGGTGCACACTTGCAATTCCAGATACTAGAAGAGGTTGAGGCTGTGAGCTGCCAGGGGCTGTCAGTGAGTCAATAAACATTTACTAAGCTCCTTCTCCATGCCAGGCACTGTGCTAAGCCCTGTGTATACAAAGAAAGGCAGAAGACAGACCCTGCTCTCAAGGAGCTCTCTGTTTCATGGGGGAGACAACAAGCTATATACAGGATAAATTTAGAGATAATCAACAAAGGGAAGCAATAGAATTTTTTGAAAAGACTTAATATATGTAATTTTTAATTACATAACAGAAGTTTATAGTTCCCTGTACAATCCTCCTTCCTGTTCTTTGTATTTTGATATGTTTGTGTTTGCTGATTGTAAAATTCACAGTAACAAAAAAGAATGAACAAAAAATACTATTGCAAAGTACTCTATTTTTGCTTGTGTGGTAAACCAGTTTATAGTCCAGGGAAAAATTCAGAACATAGAATGTTTGTTACAGATGGAAAGGACCTTTGAGACTCCCCCATTTTATAGATGAAAATAAGGCCCAGAGAAGTTGTGGTTTAAAAGATCCCATTGCTATAGCACTTTCTTTTATGTTTACATAGTACTATATCTACATTATTTTATTTGATCCTCACAATAACCCTATGAGTGAGGTGTTATTAATTACCATACTCATTTTACATATGAGGAAGCTGAAAGGCAATAGAATTAAGGGACATAAGGAAAGGCTTCCTGAAGGAGATGGAGTTTTATCTGGGACTTGAAGGAAGTCATGGAAAGGAGGCATCAGAGATGAGGAGGGACACAGTCAATGAAAAGGTCCACAGTCAGGTGGAGTGTCTGGTATGAGGAACAGCAAAGGAGGCTACTGAACCTGGACTATAGAGGGTTTAGTTGTTCAATTGTTTTACTGAAGAGTGTCTGACTCCTCATTACTGAATTTGGGGTTTTCGTAGCAAAGATATTGGAGTGGTTTGCCATTTCCTTCTCCAGCTCATTTTATAGATGGGGAAACTGAGGCAAACAGGGTTAAATGACTCACCCAGGGTCACATACCTAGTGAGTGTCTGAAGCCAGATTTGAACTTAGGAAGATAAGTATTCCTCCTTCAGACTTGGCACTCTATCCACTGTGCCACCAGAGTATGTAGAGGGGGATAAAATGTAAGAAGACTGGAAAGGTAGAAAAGGATGGGGTGGTAAAGAGGCTTAATTGCCAACCAGAGGACTTTATTTCTGATCTCATAGGAAAAAGGAAGCCAAAGTAGTTTGTTGAATAAGGATGTGACATGGTCAGCATTGTGGTAAACAGTGCTGACTGGGAGTTGGCACTAAGTTCAGCATTAATATGGTAGGCGAGTCCCCAGGAGCAGGAGATTAGTTAATTGCCCAAGGAGGGGCAAACCAGCTGAGGTAAAAAAATAAAACAAGGTCAAAGCTCTCATGCTGATCAGAGCATGTGAACTTCAAGTATTGGGGGAAGAGGGGAAAAAGAGAAAGGGAGAGGGAGGGGGAGAAAGAGAGAGAGAGAGAGAGAGAGAGAGAGAGAGAGAGAGAGAGAGAGAGAGAGAGAGAGAGAGAGAGAGAGAGAGAGAGAGAGAGAGACTGATGAAGTATGCCACTTCATTTCTGCCACAGTCACATTCTTTCACATCAGCTCCAAAGAAGATGGTATTTTGGCTAAGGGTAGTGAGAGCTACAGCCTGATTTTCTAACCACTTAAGAGAATACGGCTGAAATATGGGGCAGAATGAACACTCCTTGACAAAGAACATTATTATGGTTCTGCAAAATCATATTGAATGTGGGAAAACCATTTTGGGCTGACAAAGCATCTAGAAATCAAGGCTATTAATAGAAGAACTCCTATGGGCATCAGATGCTATTATCCAAAGCACAGAGAAGGACACTAAGAAAGGAAATTTTGGTCACATGCTGGTCTCTACATCATTCACTGAAGAAATAATGTCATTCATCATCATCAGAAATGAAGGCTAGTTGTCTGGAAGGATAATTACCTGTGGTTACATGTATTACAAATATCATTAATTTAAAATATTCATCTATGCTCTTGGATTCACAAAGTTAAATTTATCCTGTTAAAATGGAGTATGTTTATCATGAAAGTGCATACTAGATCTATATTCAAATTTTTTTTCCACCAGAATTTACAGTGCAGTACTCATTAATGAAATATTCATTAAAGGCTTTACCTAATCACATTTGAGGAAAACAATAGGTGAAACAACAGATGTTGTCCAGCTTGATGTATTGTTAGGCAGTAGGCTTAACCTAAGTAACATGCAAATATAGAGCTAGTGTAAATGCTATTGTTGTGAATTCTCACTGTGATTGTAATTCATCTGTCAAAAATCCCCCTGGGCACATATGAATTATCACTAAGTGATGAAAAAGTGGTTGACATAAAACTGAACAGTGGCAGAAAAGTGGTAAGATTTCCTGTTAAAACAATAAAAAAGCCATTTTCCTATAGCTTGGATTTGGCAAATAGCCCCTACCATCCCATTAATTGAAATTTACTATTTTGCCCCAAGCCTTTTATGTTAGGGGTCATCCTTTTGTAGCATCATAGAACCAGAAAGGACTATAAGAGGATTGAGAATCAAGCCCTCTGACATTATGAAGAAACATACCTAAACTACTGAAGACTGATGACTGTCTAGAATATTCGCAAATGCTCTAGGGATTACAACATCCCTATTTCCCTTGCATTTCAAGTGCTTAATCACCTTTATAATTATAAAGTTCTTTTCCACCTTTTGTAACTCTCTCCTTCCCCAGTTTGAGTCTATTTTGGAGTACAATGGAAAAACAGATAGATTTGGAGTTAGGGGACTTGGGCCTTGTTCCAGCTCTGCTACTTACTAACTGTGGGACCTTGGACAAGTTACTTCTATGGATTTCCATTTCTTCATCTCTAAAATGCTGGGGTTGGATGAGAACAGTGGTGTCAAACTCAAAAGGCCACTAACCTGTAGGTAAGGCTTCCTGCGGGCCACATATTGACTAAGAAAAATCACACATTAACATTATCTATATTCCATTGTATCTTTGTTTATTTTGTTAAATATTTCCCAATTACAGTTTAATATGGTTTGGGCCACACTCAGGAATTTTATAGACAGAGATGATTGCGTGTTTGACACCTCTAGGCTAGATGATCTTTAGGCCCCCTTCTAGCATGAAATCTATAGTCCAATTTTCATACCATGGATGACCCTGCAATTTGTTCAACAACTAGAATGGAATTTGGGCAGGAAAAAGGGAAAAGGGATAGAAAAGCCCAACTGCAAAGCATCAGGCTAAGTTCAGTTCTACAACACAGAAGAATCCTAGCATATATTAAAGCTGGACAGGACCTTAGAAATTATCTAATATAAGACTTTCATTTGAAAGATATGGAAACTGAAATCCATAGAGATGAAATAGCTTTCCTAAGGTCACACAAAAGTTAATGGCAGAGCTAGATCAAGAATTCAAGCCAAGGCTCTTTCTACTATATCATGTTATTATTCATCAAATTATACCCCAACAGTCCACAACAGTATATTTCTCTGTGTAATGAGGCTTTGTACATGTCTAGATCACCTAAGATGGAGTCATCTATGTGGAAGACATCAGGGACCAGCATCTGGAAGAAGACATTCTACATTCCCCTACCATATGGGTGGGAACAGCCTTTTGCAATGGCTAATAACTAAAACTAGCTGAGTCTTTAAAACCACCAGACTGAGACAGGTTATCTCTCTTTCCAGCAGGATCCACGGAATGAAGGTCTTATTCACCCAAAGCGTGAACATCATACACTGAGCTGAGTAGGGGGAAGGGCTACCTCTCCCCTTTTCCCTTAGGAGCTCTGTCAGATGGCTTGGGGTTTAAGATTGTTTTCGTTCATCATTTTCAATTCTTGAAATAAGCACTGGAGTCCCTAGACTGGGAAGCTTGAACCACGTGAAATTTGGAGCCAGGATTTCAGTGCGGATATTGCTGCCAGCCTAGTAGGGATGCCCTGCAAAGCCAAAGTGCTTGGACATGGGCCCATGGGAGCTTTGGACTTGGAACTTGGTGGAACTATGCTCTGTATGAACTCAGTTAAGCTGTGAACCTAATTCCTTTCCCCTCCCCAAAAACTGCAGTGCCAAAAGTGCCTCTCAAAGTCCAGGTGTTGAGGTGGGGGTAGTACTTGTGTGTTTATTCTTGCAATACCTTTGAAGTAAATATTCCTTTGTAAAAGCAATAAGAAAATATTAATGAGTGTTTGAGATAAAAACCTGGAGCAGCACTGTCATTTGTATATAAAATAGCCCCCCCCCAAAAGAAAAGCAAATCTAAATGTTAAGTGGTTAAATGGAACTAGGGTACTGGAGACCCCCTAAAGTTGAGGGAACGCAATCAGTGGAGGCTTGAACCAGCAGTCACAATGGACATTTAAAGGTACCAGAAAACCTTCAGGGAAGGGTCAAAGTAATGCCTGGCCTTCAGGCTATGGGAGCCAGTGTAGACTGGCTAGATATTTGGAAAGGTTTTGGTGATGGTATCATCTTGTCCTTAGTCCTAGAGTTATAATGAGTTCTATTATAACGGTGAAAATGTTAACAACTCCATGCTTCACCTACCACTAGCACAAATAGGTCCCCAGCTTCATCTATCCCACGCTAATAGCGAGGGGCTAGGAACTGGGCTCCTGACAAGCATGATGCAAATATCAATTAAAGTGTTTCTAAATATAAGATAATCAACCTTTAAAACACAGATTGTGAAGAAATAGAGACTGTTTGGCTCACTGGATAATGACTATTCCAATATAAATACCAAACTACATTACTAAAAGCTGTTGCTACCTAGCATGTGACAAAGCAAACAATTAAACATATTTCCAAATAGAATGCTAGTGACTGAAGGTCAAAGCTCTGCTTGGCAACGGAAGACACAGTAAACATGTCATTTATCTTGGTTATACTCTTTTAATAGATTTTTGAAACTTACCCATTGCTTGACACAAGATGTCCACAGTTTTTTCCACTTGGGCTAGAATTCTACTCTCAGGTTCAGCAGTAAAATAGGGAGGCTCTTTAAAAGAGAGAGAAAAAAATCATTAAAGAGGTAGGTGAATCCTTTTTGTTGAAAGCCCTTAAAAAATAAAACTCTTAATATTCTCAAAGAGAGTCAATGATAAGTGTAGTGGACGGAGAGATGGCCTCAGAGTCAGAAAGAACTGAGATCAATTTCACCTTCTGATGTATATTGGCTATATGGCCATAGTCATGTCACTTAATCTCTCTAAAACTATAAATTGAGAATGACATAGCTACATAGATAGTGCAATGGACAGAGCGCAAATCTAGCCTTACCTACTTACTAGCTATATGACATGAGACAAGTCATGTCCTCTGTTGGCTTATTTCTTCAATGTAAAAGGGCGATGATAATTATACCTTTCTCTCAGGGTTTCTGTGAGGATCAAATGAGATATTGGAAAAGCACTTAACTCCAAGGCTATCACATAGTAGGTGCTATATAAGTGTTATCTATTGTTGTTGTTATTATTATTATCTATATTTTTGAAGAGAGCTCCCTCACCCAGAGTTCTCTGCTCAGATCAAATTACAGAGCCACTACCCAAAAAACTTTAAGATGAGCTTAAAAAAATAGGTAAAATATTATTAAAATTGTTTCCTTAGTTACTACCATTTATAAAACTGTGAATTCAGAGAGGATAGCCAATGGCAATCTCTATCCAAGATTTCAGCCAGCAAATTAATAGTCATTGCAGAGGCTACTTTTGAGTTTATGAGCTTGAATCATGGAATATCTTAATTCACAGTTTAGAAGGACTATCCCAAGAGGTTCATAAAGGTTTATATTTACAGCACAGTATTTTATAGGATAGTTTGCTTCAGTATCTACACTAAACACCACCTCATGAAGCATGTCAAATAAAGTGCCATAGCACATCATTGGGCCTATATCAGAGGAGAAGTGCAGCATATTAAAAAATTGTAAATGCCTTAGCAATTCAACTTCATCAAAACATATTTAATACTTGAATAGAATTCAAAATAACAACAAACCCTCTCCTCTCTCTTCAGAACAACTGGATATGTGCCTGGGAGAACAGTCAGTTATACCCCAAGATTAATAAGGCAGACTTTGTGGAAATCTACCTGGGAAGCCCACATGGCAGTGTGGAAAACGGCCAGGTGGCTGAGTCCATGTTGATCTGTTTAGGCTGCCTGGCCATTGATGTCCTGATGCCTACCCTGGCCAAACTATTCTCTGTTAGCAAAATAGGTTTAGCAAAGGGAAGGAGGACCTTATCTGATTATTTAAGCATAGTTAGGGCTAGAGGAGTGTTCCCTGAAATGGAGTGAAAATGCCACTCTATTGATCATGAAACTTCTGTGGTTTTCTATTGCCTACCTAAAATATAAAATCTCCTACTAGGCACTTAAAACCCCTCAGAATCTGGCTTCAATCTATCTTTCCAGACTGATTTCACATGATCCCTCTCCATACTATCTACATTCCTGCCATAGTGGCCTACTTGTCGCTGCTCTCCACACGATATTCTGTCTCTGTCCATCCCATGACTTTGCACAGGCTGCCCTTCCCCTCACTCACTTCTTATGTTTTTGCACAGGCTGCTTTCCTCTCTTTTTCTCTCCTCTCCTACCTGGATTGGTAACTTTCTCCTTCCTCAACTCTGCCTTTTAGAATTCCTGGCTCCCGTCAAGGCGTGGCTTAGGTGCTACTTACCTATATGAAGCTTGATGTCAGGCAAGCAGGCAATAAGCATTTATTAAGTGCCTACTGTGTGCCAAGTACTGTGCTAAGTGTTGGGGATATAAAAAAAAGGAGGTAAATGACAGTTCCTGTTCTCAAGGAGCTTACAATGTAATGGGGGAGACAAAAAGCAAACAAATATGTCCAAGTAAGATAAAGAGGAAATAATAGTTGTTAGCATCCCCCACATTACTTCATATATATTTTGTATTTACTTATCTCTGTATATGTTGCATTTCCCAGTAAAACCAAAGCTTCTCAAGGATTGGACTGCTTCAATTTTTTGTTTTGGTCTTTTTATCCCCAGAATCTATAACAGTACTTTTCACACAGTAGACACTTGATAAATACCAAATAGAAACAAAAGGAATGTCTTAAAAAAATGTGAAGCTCTGTAGCAAAATAAATAAATAAAAATAGATAAATAAATGTTTTATTAAACATGGAACTTCAGAGGAAAGTAAATTGCCATATTAGTCCCAGTTTATTCAGAAGAAACACAACAATGGCATGACCGGGTTTCCCCAGGTGTTAAGGTTGTAGTGATTTCATTATCATGATAACAAAAAGCTGTCAAATTCAGTTTCTATGTGATAATTAATTTCTGGGCACTGTCTTCCAAAGCAGTTTATTTTCATTGTAATTTTGTTGAATGCAGATAATATAACTTGGCAGGCTGTTTGTGTATCCTTAAAACAAGAACTTAGTTTGGAGGAAAGGGGGAAACAACTACTGAGCATTGGAAAGAAAGAAAAGAAGAAAGAAAATAAAGGTTTTATCTGGAGACAAAATTAAGGATAGTATTTTATAATTATCTGGATAATTCAAGGAAAACAAATTTGCCTGAATTATCTACCCTGGCTGTCTCAGTGGTCCCAAATTCATTAGTTAAATGCAATAATTCTCTATTTAGCTTTGCTGCATAAAGCTGGCCTAAAGAAATAATGGAAAATATGAGTTTCTGGCTGGCTTAAGCTAATCCTCATTGCATACTCATAATTTTGCCATTTGGACATGCCTCCACAATCAATAATAATGATATGAACATTATTTATATTCTAACTATACAACAGCTGTATCCCACGGAGGCCCTTTTACATAGGTCATGCTCCTAGAGTCATTATGAATGTAATCAGTCAATAACCATGACCACAATCCATTTAAAGGGAAGGGGAAATGAAAAAAAAAAAACATACCAAAGTAAAAATCAACAAACTGCCTGTGGCTTAGCACGTTTTAATAATAGCAATGCACATTTATTCTTGAAACCTAAATAATGACTAGACAACAAATAATAAGATGCCTGCTGATTACCCTTAGGCAGCCACCCTTTATCTCAGGAAGTAAAGTTTATCATGTAGGGTTATTCAGGTGATTCTCCTAAGGGATAGAGAAGAACTTTGGTAACAAAGACTGTGTTGTTATTTACTACCTTTTCTCCCCCCTAGAAGATTGGGCCTCCTTTTTTCTCTCTAAGATTGAAAATGCTGGGGCTACTCATTGACTGGTCCCATAGTCTCAACAACTCTCAAGTTCTCACTTGTATTCCTCAACTGCATCAGTTCTCCATTTCTCAGGCAAATTGATAGCCTCTTTCTCCCTCTCTCTCTTCTGGGGCTCAATATATTAATGCTGAACATAGTGGAAACACTTGGTTAGTTTAGCCCACTACATCTCAGAACTCCTGAGCTTAAGGGATCTACCAGCCTCCTTCTCTCCAATAGGTGGAATTAATGGTGTGGCCACCTTGATTGGCTTGCTATTCACTCTTACAAATGGTTAGGGCCCTCCACAGCTGGTTAAAGAGCAAACAAAGGGGTGGCTTAGAGCAAGGGTTCTTAAGAGTGTGTGTGTGTGTGTGTGTGTGTGGTGTGTGTGTGTGTGTGTGTGTGTCTGTGTGTGTGTCTGTGTGTGTGTCTGTGTGCCTGTGTTAGTCATGAACCCAGTAGTTTGCTAGAACCAGCTCATAGTACCAAGAGAAAGCCAATTGTTAAATTTTCAGTGTGAGCATTTACACCTGGAAAATCTGTGAACATTCCAAATCAGGGCTTGATTTATTATATTGTTGTTTATCTGGAGAAAAATGTTAATAATATTAAAAGTTTGCCATGCACACATTTGCCCCTGAGAAAGCCAGTTGTTAAATATTTAATAGCAAACCCTGTTAGCAGTCCTTCTCAGACCCATGCCTCTAAATGCATAGAATAAAATACAAAGGACTACAAAGGAAACCAGTTTTATTGAAATACAGTGTTCCAACCAACCATTCTTTAAAAAAAATTGTGAAATAGTAATGTTTGTTGTTGTTCAGTCATTTCAGTCATGTCCAACTCTTTGTTATCCCATTTAGGACTTTATTGGTAAAGATACTAGAGCGGTTTGCCATTTCCTTCTCTAGCTCATTTTATAGGTAAGGCAACTGAGGCAAATTGGGTTAAGTGACCTGCCCAAGGTCACACAGCTAGTTAGTGTCTGAGGCCACATTTGAACTCAGGTCTTCCTGACTCCAAGCCCAGTGATCTATCTGCTGTGCCACCTTGGGGCACTTGACAACATAGGTTGTCAATGCAGTTTTCAAGATTTAGTAGCTTAAAACTGCACTAAGACTTCTGGGGCATCCAATATATGCTTATTGACACAATGAATAACAAGATAATGTAGGCAAATTAATAATGAGATAATGTAGGCAAAATGTAGGCAAATTAAAATGCTTAATAACTACACTAATTTTGAAGTAGTAAGCATAATATTTTGAGAAATCTGCAATAACTATAATATGATTTGAAAACATCTTTAATTCCTATTGGTGACCAAGTCACAGTTACTGTTAATACAACTGTGATTTATTGCCTACATTCATAATTGAAGAAAAAGCTAAATTTCAATTAGAGGTTACTGAAAATAAAAATGTTTTTTTTTTCCATCCAAGTTCAACTACCCATGGAAATCTATTTAATGGACCATTTTGGGATCTGAGGATTTCAGCTTAAGGATACCTAGTCCAGAGTCATGGACTGTTAGGGTTGGAAAAAATCCTTAGAAATCACCTACTTCTCTCTTTCATTTTACAGGTGAGGAAAAAAGAGGTCTGGGGAAGATTGAGTGATGACTCATACAAAATTACACAATTAGTTGGTGAGCACTTCAGGGATTGTAAAGGGAAGTCAAGAATGAATAGACCTGATCTAAGAGCCTTTCCCCCTGTATCCCATTCTTTACTAATTACATGTTGTTGAGTACTAACCAAGACTGTCTATTTATTCATGAAATTCTCCTCCATGGTTACCATTTGTAAATCATTTCAAGCCTGCGGCAACTTCTTCTGGGATGAAGGGTGAGATTCCAAGGGTCAGCAAGGACTTTTCTTTGGTTTCAATTATAGTACCTGGGCAATCACATTATTAAAAATCAGCAGGCAGTGACCATGGAAAACACACACCTATTGGGAATTCAGTGGGCAGAGGAGGACACACGTAGCTGCCAAATGAGCAAAGTGTGCTCAGTTACGTGGGTTGCTCCTGCAGTAATTCCATTACTTTCTTTTAACTTGTATAGGTTTCATTTTCAGTCACTTTTCATCTCTCATTCTAACCAAATAGAAGAGGTGTTATGATGATTTTTCTCTGATTCCTCAGCTTATCACATACACTGTGTGGTATAATAAAAGATTGTTTGAAAAATAGTTGTGAAACAACCATTAAAAGATTTTGAGCTAAAAAGAAAAAAAAATCTGTTTTCATTTAGCTTAGCCGTGCACAAACTCTGACACAATCTTCAAATAGTAAGTGGAAATGCAAATGTCTTTTCTAATCGGCAGCAGTTCTTTCTAAAACTGCTATACCATCGACAAATACTATCCTTTGAAATATTTATAATGGAAGCTAATAAAACCAGAGTTTGGAACCATCTCTTTTGTCTTCGTTAAAACCATATGAAGAAATGAGGAAAGGTGTTTCATCTTCTGTGAAAAATTAAGATTTAAAAAAAAAAAGCCATCATGCTCAGGCCTCCTACACATCTGTCCAGAACATAGGGTCTGCAACTCTTGAACCAATTGTTGGTAACTAAGAGGATACCAAGCATATTTCCTGTTCCCTTATGTAGTGTTAGGAATCATCTATCACTGATTCTCCAGGCACTCAAGAATTAGGTTTTCTGGTGTCAGCAGAGACATCAACAAAAATGAACTCTGTCTCTACTCTCGTTCCAGGCTTTCCAGGATAGCTAATAACCAGAAACAACCACTTTAAGTAGTACTCATAGCAGAAACTAGCTTGTTTCTCCCCAAAGCTGTCAAAAGTTAGGGTGCCTAGATCTGTTAGAGCTATAGAGATTAATACAGAAAGGGATCTCTGTTGTTTCTCTTTCTTTTTGTTCATCATTCCTCCCATGGTGTTATTGATTAGAATTCATAAAGTAGGATGATCCTAATGCAAGAAGAGAGCTGAAGGGGATATAAAGAGATACAATAGCAAATAAAAAGGAAGATAAGAGGGCCCATTTTTTTTTCTGACATCTTCTCTGCCAGTTCTCTCCACCAAGGCTGAATTCCTATTGTCATCCTTACAAAACACTCCTGAAATTGTAGTTAGTTCAGATACCATGGATGGTAAGTGTTAATTGTAATATTTACCACAGGTTTCTCTCTTAATTTATAAACACTGTTCTATAAATTTAACATCTTGTTACTTTCTCAGTTTGTTCTTTGGTAAACTGGCCTGCAGCTTATTTATATGGCTGTGAGAAAATGTCAATAATTAACTTGTGCATTTTTTCTATAGTTTATATGTAAGGACAAATGAAACATCTAAAGTGCTTCTCAAATAAACATAAATGAATTATAAGACAGACTCATGCTAAAAAGCACCTGGAGTCAGTGGGATATATCAACAACAGGAATCTTTCCACTGGGATCTTATTTGCATTTGGCAGGATAATACCTTCCTTTGCTGGTAAGACAATGATTCATTATATATTTTGAACTTCAGATTTGAACATCAGGGGTTCCATTAATGAACTAACCTCTCAGAATGCTCTGCAATGATGCAAATTGTACATCCATCTATAACTTAAGGTCCTAAGTAGTTGCCTCAGGCTTGGAGAGGGTATGTGACCTGCTATGCTCACAAGGGCCAGAAGTGGGATTTAAGCCCAAGTTTTTTTGACTCCAAACTCAGCACTGTATTCTCTACACCAAGCTTCTTCATATCTTTTAACTTAAAACTCATAAAAAAGAATAGCAGCGGATAACACTTAGGTTTTGAATAAACACCTGCAACTCAATCATCTATTGGGGGGGGGAGCTAGGCAGTGGGGTTAAGTGACTTGCCCATGGTCACACAGCTAGTAAGTGTTAATATCTCTGAGGTCGGATTTGAACTCAGGTCCTCCTGACTCCAGGGCCGCTTCTCTATCCACTGCGCCACCTAGCTGCCCCAGTCATCTATTTTTTTATTGTTATTCAGTTGTGTCTGACTCTTCATGACTCCATTTGGGATTTTCTTGGCAAAGATACTAGAGTGGTTTGCCATTTTCTTCCCCAGTTCATTTTATAGATAAAGAAACTGAGGTAAGTAGGGTTAAGCGACTTGCCCAGGGTCACACAGCTACTAGTGTCCAAGGCCAGATTTGGACACCTGCCTCCAGGCCCAGCATTCTATCCACCGCTCCACCTACCTGCTGCTATCTGGTTTTATCAGGGTGAAATAAAAGTAATTAGTAGCCAATTTTTTTCTGCTTTCTTTCACTGACTTGTTTATGACAGTAGTTCCTTTCACAACTTTATCACAACTTAGACTGCCAGGGAAGGATAAGAGTTCTTTAAGGAGACTCCCTGAATGACTGTTGGATATGGGGGTTACCATCAAACCCACGCCTTTGAACTCAGAAAGATAATTTCCTATGCTACCTGAGGCATAACTTAACAGCAAGCCAGAAAATTGCACCTGTCACAATAAAATCTTATGAATAAGAAAAAGAATTAAATCACTACCATAAATGGTATGTATTCATTCACGTTTAAAAGAAAGAACATTGAGAGATAATAATTCTAGGAAAAAAAAAAAAACAGGCAACAATTTGCTTTGGTATTTGGAAGTAACTGCAAAACTGAGGTTTGTATGATAGATTTTAAATATTAAGAAAGGAATTGTGATTGAAACTAGCATGCTGGCTTATAGAGTTTTTTTCCCTCTTGTTTAAATTAACCATAAAATGCTTTAATACAATAAAAACTGTCAACTAGAGATTTACAGATTAGTAATTTTAATTTTGGCTCAACTTATAGTATGCTGTTCTGATATAGCTGTAGATCAACTCTGATGAAAATAAAATGCTTTTGCCTGGAATGAAAATATAGTATTTCTATCAATAGCTAGTGGGTACATGAGAACGGCTACTAAAAACCATCTCGGATCTCATGTATAGACTCAGCAATGATTAATGATTCAAAAGCATCTGTTTCTCATGCTTTTAAAACTTCCAGCCTTCATTTTAAGTGATGACAGGTTTGTGTAGTGTCAGATTTAGTTATTTTTCACATGCAATATATACTTCTTCCAATGATTTAAGGAAATGAGACATGCTTTAAAAAAAAGGCAAACTGTCTCAAACACAATGTTAATATGAGAAAGTTTGCTTAAACACTTTTTTAGAAAATATTAGCTTTAAAGAAAATTGTTTTAAGACAAAAATCATGTGAAATCTACCATTGTTTGGACAATATTTTATTCTCAATATTACTGCTTCTTGAAGGGATGTGAATAAAGGTTATCATTATTATAACCAGTCTTCACCTCAGAAAACTTCTACTTTATTTTGGGGGGAGTGAAGGGAAGATCAGCAGCTGCTTCATATTTGTCATACTATGGCATCGAGAGAAAGCTAGGAAAGAGAAGCAGGTATCAAATGTAGCAACTTAAGCAGAGCTAAAAATATTTTAGTAACTGAAAATAAAATCAACTGTCTCACCGTTGAACCTAATCTTATCAACATCTAGTAATGAACTAAGGATTTCTTTGGTGATTGTAGACAACATAGTTCTTTAGGTATATGTGTGTGGGTAGATTCTGCCTAATATCAACAATGGCAGTACTGTATAAACATAAGTGGAGAGAGCTATTTTTTCAAGGTCCTCTCGATTCTATAATGTTACTTAGCCCATTTCCCAGCAAGCATCTCTGCTCTCATTATGCCATTATTATTCTAGCAGGAAGCAATGTCAAATAGTTCTCCTACAAATTTTTTTCTAGTGGAGGGGGAGTATGTGGAAGAAAGAATGCTGACAATCTTAAAGCCAGAAGTACAAATTAGGCTTCACATAGAGGTTTAATGGCATTAAAAGCCAAGATAGGAGAATTGTATGATAAGGATTTTACTGTGTTTCATAAGCTTTATGATTAAATTAAAATTTCTTGGGGGTATTAGGAGTAACATCAGTGTTGCTATAAAATATTTAATAGATTTGTATTCATAGGAAAGAATGATTGAATTAATTTGGAAGATAACCCCATTTTACCCCCTCTGTTCCATTTCCTCAGAAAGAGTTGAAGTATAAGGTCAAGGAAATGCATATTTAACTTCAATTTCTATTGTACTTTCCATATACTCTTTAACTCTAAGTGGAGATACTGGTAGATAATGCTCCCTGTCACTGGTTTTACCTATGATGGAAAGAAAGGCTTTTGTTCTTGCTGGCTCAAAGTCAGTTCCTCTTAATTCAGCCTCACAGATATACATTCCAAATGTCAGAGGATGTTGGGTTGGTGATTGTAAGCCGTCTTCCCAAACTGTGGAGTCCATTAGAAATTTTTACTCCATTTCTCTTCCAAGTCATGCTCAATTCTTCAACAGGTCTGTGAGGACAAAAATCATTACTGATTATCCTTCTGAATTATGTTGACAAGCGATATGGAATACATTTCATTCAGCACTTGCTCAACAAAGAAAGTACCTCAACAGCATGAACAATGGACATTTGGATATAATTCATTGTTACAATTCTATACTCTTTATGTCACGAAGCAAAGCTATACTCACCTCAAGGGTTATTGAATAAGGATGGGTAATTACTGTAGTAATGGAGTTAAGTCCTAATGATTTGGTTTCTTATTTTAAAAACAAGAATATTAAAAAAAGAAGAAAGCACTTCCATGGAACTTAACTATACAGGAAGTACTGCCATTAGAACTCAGTCACAGAAATGATGTTACTATACAGAAAACACTACCATCAGACGGGAGGGAAAATCAGCCCTTACTGGGCCTGAACCTCTCTTCTTCCCTAAAGTGTACATGTGGAACCTCCATTACAACTTATGATTGGAAGTGACCGAGAAGTGTGTGTATCATCCCCATATTTGATCAAGGAAAAATAATCTTAGTTTCTAAACATGCTATATTCATAATGTAGTTAGGCAACAAGATTCTTTATTATTGCAGAAAGAACAAATTGTCTTAGGTTTTTTAAAAGCACCAAATGAAGAATTAACATAAGGTTCTTATCTCTAATCCCCACAATACCTTGCATTGGCTATGCATTCCAATGTGACTTCACTGGTTCCTGCCACTACACTTGTATTGCCTGGAGGGATGACAATGACAGGAGCCATGATATCAGGTATATCAATGTCACCTGTAAGGGAGAAAGAAAGTAAGCTCATGTGAATACTTTGACTATTTACTCAAATAAAATTCTGCTTTGATGCCCTCCACAGCATGGAGACAACCCTGGATCCTTCAAGGCTATGTCAGTAGGGCGAAAATTCTAGCAAGTCTTTCCAAGTTGGAAAGGCCTAGCTATTGACCTGACAGTCTATGTATCTGTCTGCATTGGGCCAGCCCAGACAAACCTGAAGAAGCTCATCATTAGAGGGCTGGTCACTAGGCTAATCAATTTCTTTGGACATAGCCATTTGTGATGATTATTTATTGGGTTCCAGACAGGCTGTCACCTGCTTCTGCAGAGGGCATAGCCACGCTAATATCTCAGATTTCAGCACTTCTAAACTAACCACTTTGAGGAAAGAAAGAGTGATGGCTAGAAAATTACAAATGAAAGATCACGTCAGACCAAGCCTTTGTGCAACCTAGGAATCTTACACTTTCAAAATTATTGTGGAGCTTAATTAATCTTCTTAAAGGAGATCTTGAGCATGGCTATTTTCAAAGGCTTTCATTAAACTATATAAGCAAAATTCTTAAGTATACCCAGTCTTCTTTCATTCAGAGCATATAGCTCACAAGAATGTTTCCCTAGTGGAGAGAAGGGGCTATATCCTAATAGAAAGGGAGCCTATTATGCAGTCAAGAGGTTTTAAACTGCTGAGCATTTAAAAAATCAAATGCTTACTGCTTTTTTTTATGATTTAAAGCCCTTCCTGTTGTGTTTCATCTTATGTGCAAACTATTTTAATAAGAGCTGCTAGTTTTCATATTTAATGCTTAAATTTGGTTCCCTGGGGGTAAATACGTTCAATTAACAGAGTTTTATATCAGAGCCATTTAAAACCCCTTTTCTTATCAGTAAAGTAAATGACTCAATTCTCAGTCTCCTTTGTAAGACACCAAAACTGTAAATAATTTAGTTCATGTTTTGACAAGACAATGATTAAAAAAAATGAAGACTGCTCTTTTAGATGTCTACTATATACATAACAGCAAAATTATCTACCCACAGTGCATATAGCAATTGTTTGGGCTGAACAGAACCACTCATTTAATTCAAATAAGAGACTAATCAACCATTTCTAAAAAGAAAAATTTTAATAAAGGAATGTGAATGTATCAAGGAGAGAAATGAAATTGCTGGAAATCTAAATGGTTTTATCCAATATTTGCTATTGAAGAGGCTTGCCACCTGAACTGAAAAAGAAACTGGCAAATGAAAGGCACTGCCCTGCTGGGCCTGAGGCATGATTACAGCCACTGGGAGACCACACTAGGATAAAATACTGGCTTCTTTTCAACACTAATTTCCCACAGGTCTCTGTATTCTTTTTTTCCCTGGCAAAGCAGTATCTGCTTTTCATATTAGAGGTTTGCATTCATTTTAAATGAATACGCCAAGGCAGTAATATATTAGCAATACAAATTTTTGTAACTGCAAATTCACATAAAACAGATTCCTCCTGGTTAGTAGTTCCTCACTCCACCTCCCCTAGCAAGGAGGAATTGGGATGTTCACACTTCCCTCTCTTCCAAACTATTTGTATCAACAGCCAATCAGTCCTTTGAAATTTCATGCTAAAACACCTTGAAGGTTCATGTTTTCTACTGATTTTCCTATTGGCACTCTCTTTTTATGAAATGATAAAGCATGATGGACTGGTTATCAAATTTCTAAGGAGAAGTGCAGAGTGATCTTATAGCCGTTCACAGCAGGGCAAAGAATGTAAAATGAATGCCAATCAAATGAACAACCTGCCTGTCACCTGGGAAAGTCACTGATGAAAGGAGATGACCTGAGAAGCTAATATTTGCAAGCAGTTATATGAGGTGAAGAATAGCAGCAGTGGATGCTAAGAGGTCAGTGAACATGGCACTAATTTGGCATTAATCACTGTTTAGTGGCAGTGGCAAAATAGGAAAACCATGCTCAGCATCTGTCAGTTCCAGGGAAGAATGGTTATGCAGCCACTCAAAATCCCTCTGTCACATCCTCCCAAGTGCCATCTAACACTATTGACTTCCTGTTCACCCCTAAGAGTTTTTCTTATAAAGAAGCCTGGCTACTGAACAATTAGGCACTATTCCACATTACACTTTAGCTTCACTGATCCTCTTCAAGAATGAAGGACAAACAACACGAATAGCTTCTTCAAAACAAGCTTAACAAAAAGTTAGCATTTGCTATTCAAATATTAAGCTAAAATTTAGAAAAAAAAAGAATAGAAGAATCAGTGCTCATTTTTAGTCATATTATTAGACATGCAATATTTGGGGAGGGCAGATAAAGGCCTGTGATTTCATGAATATGGAGAACTCCCAGTGAGGAAACTCATTTTACCAATGCATATTAGCAACCACTTGGTAGTTTTTAGATTTTGTTGCCTGGGGTAATGAGGGATTAAGTTATTTACCTAGGATCACAAGCTATTAGGTTCCAAAGGCAGGACTGGAACCTAGGCTTTCCTTATGTCATGGCCAGTTCTCTATCCACGATGCGGTATGATCTCATTATGTATGCAACATACAATACAGCAAATGTACTAAACACAATATTCAATAGATTGTAAGGCTATATCACCCTGATTACACCTGATCTCATCTGATCCTGGAAGCTAAACAGGATTGGGCCTGATTAGCATTTGGATGGGAAACCACTTGAAAGCAGGAGGTGCTACATGTTTAGAAGACGAGCATAGGGACATTGTGGGAACCCCCCTCTTTTCTATGAAATAGTGAACAGATGGCTCATTTTCAGAGTTGGAAACATCCAAGTTCTGCCTTGAATACATGCTGGCTATGTGACTGCTCAATTCATTCAACCTCCCCAAGCCCCAGGTGAGTCTTTAAGACTATAAATTGCAGAATGGGTATTGACCTGCATTGGTAGCCAGGTTTCAGCTGTGTTGTAAAGATGAAAGAGTTCTGTATTTGGAGTCAGATGCCCTAGGTTAGAATACTGGATTTGTTATTTACTACCTGTATGACATTGGGCAACAGGTTACGAATCACTTAACCTCTCTGTGTCTCAGTTCACCATGTGGAAAAATAAGACAGCTGAACTGCATGACCACTATGATCCCTTCCAGATCTAATATATGATCCTAAGCAAAAGTTGTTCAGTCATATCTTACTCTCCGTGACCCCATTTGAGGTTTTCTTGGCAGAGATGTTGGAGTGGTTTGCCATTTCCTTCTCATTTTATAGATAAAGAAACTGAGGTAAACAGGGTGAAGTGATTTTCTAATAGTCACAGAATGTCTGAGGCCAGATTTGAACTCAGAGTCTTCCTGACTCTAGGCAGGGCACTCTATCCACTGTGCCACCTCGCTGCCCCCTGATTTTTCATAAGCAGGAATACTCACCAAAGAAATCAGATTTGGACTCCCTCTGCAGCCTTCCCCCTCCCCACCCCCCCACCACACTCTGCCCAAATCAAGCTGTCTGAAGAAAATCATACTGTCTGCAAGTCAAGATCCAATATTATTTTTAGAAGGTATAGCAAGAGGCAGAGCCAAGATGGCAGAGTGAAAGCAGTGACTTGCTTGAGCTCTCCTACAAACCCCTTCAAATACTCATAAAAAATGGCTCTAAACAATTTCTGGAGCAGCAGAACCCACAAAAAGACAGAGTGAAACAAATTTCCAGCCCAAGACAACCTGGATGATTGATCAGAAAGGTGTATCGTGCCAGGCTGGGAGCGCAGAGCAGCGTGGCTTGGGTGCACAGGCCGTAGCATGGGCACGCAGGCTGCAGCAAACATGGAGCAGGCCTCAGAGAACTGAATCTCGGGCAGCTGTGGAGGTTTCCAGACTCCTCAATCCACCAATGCCAAAGACAAATTAGAAGGTCAGTGGGAAAAGTCTGTTTCTGTCGGTGCCTGAGAAAGGAAGGCAGGGTTTCAGCTCCATTCCCCAAGAGCTTGGCCCTGTAGGGGGGCAGCTGCTTCCCAAGCTTCCGGCCCACAGACTGAGGGGGAATCCAGTGGCTGATCAGAGAGGGATTGCAGGGATCTCTTTGCCAGTGCTGAGGCAGGAATCTCTTGCTTTGCCCGTGTTTGGATCTGGGCCACAGTTCTGGGCAGCGGTGCTGGGGTGAGGAGGAGTGCTGGCTTGGTGGAGCTTGTAGTGGTTGTGGAGAGGAGCCCCTCATCACAGTTACAGGACAGAAAGGAGTACTTGTAGTCGCAGGCCAGGAAAGGAGTAAACACCTTGCCCCTTATCATACCACCTTGGAAGAACTGAAAATTTACAGGTCCCTACAAGTATCTCTGAAAACAGCTGTACAAACCCCCGAAGCTTGGGACAGTACATTCTCCACATTGGAAGCAGATTCGTACCTTAACAAAGAGTTTAAAACTCAAGTAATTAGGTGGGATCATGAGCAAGCAGCGCAAAAAGAGTCAGACTATATTATCTTACTTTGGTGAAAAAGAAGACCAAAATATACAACCAGAAGAAGACAACAAAGTCAAAGCCCCTACATCCAAAGCCTCCAAGAAAAATATGAATTGGTCCCAGGCCATGGAAGAGCTCAAAAATGATTTTGAGAAGCAAGTTAGAGAAGTAGAGGAAAAACTGAGAGTGATGCTAAAGGAGACCCAAAAAAATACTGAAGAAAATAACACCTTAAAAAATAGCCTAACCCAAATGGCAAAAGAGGTCCAAAAAGCCAATGAGGAGAAAAATGCCCTAAAAAGCAAAATTGGCCAGATGGAAAAGGAAGTCCAAAAGCTTACTGAAGAAAATACTTCCTTAAAAATTAGAATAGAGCAATTGGAAGATAGTGACTTTATGAGAAATCACGACACAGTAGAACAAATCCAAAAGAATGAAAAATTAGAAAACAATGTGAAATATCTCATTGGAAAAACAACTGACCTGGAAAATAGATCCAGGAGAGAGAATTTAAAAATTATTGGACTATCTGAAAGCCATGATCAAAAAAGAGCCTAGACATCATCTTTCA